GAATACGTTGTGGAGGAACTGTGCTTTCTATAATCAACTGTCCCACTCAACCGATGGCCCCTGTGCATATGGACAACTACTGGATCAGTGGAAATTCACACACTTTATAGAAAATGAATATTGATAGATAAATTCTGTATTATTCATAATGGCTATTTTTAAGTGCTAGGAATTCAGAAATATAAAATCTTGTGTATTTGCTTTTCTTTAAGACAATTAATTAGTGAATTAATAGCATAGTATACTTTGCCAGGATTGAATTCAGTCCTGTAACTGAGTTTACTTTAAATCAATTACAAAACCTTATAGAAGTCATGATGAACAGAGTAGCAGCAACTGTGGCTCTCAGAGGAAGAGTGATCTGGGAAAAATCAAGAGACAGTGGCAATTTACCCGAAGCTCACAATGAGCAGGGGCAGTCATGGTCTCTCTCACTGAACAGTACTTACATTTTAGAGTTTTCCATGTTTTAGGTTGAATATTTCCTGTTGATTAGGCTCCTCTAGCTAGAAGGCCAACGATCTGCATTCATTTCCTTCCACCTCTCCTTTACTTTCCTTCCTCCTCCAAAGAGGATGGATGAACACAAGTTCAGTCCATGCTTATTAACCTCCCACATCCATACACACCACCCCATGTCCACACAAAGAGAAAACCCCCTGCATGATTCCTGAGCAGCCTCACCGCTGTTCTAACAGCTACTCTGTGTCCCTCTAGGTTTCACTGAGGACCTGCCAGTCAACCCAGCTTGTGACAAGACAGAGGAGACTCCATGTGCCTCCAAGGAAAGACTTTTTTCCTTTTTTCTGGTCTGAAATAGAAATATTGTTTCCTTTCTTTTTAAGTACAATTAAGTTGTGCATCTTTGAAGGTGTTCCTTTCAGACAGAGGCGATTTCCTTGGTTGGGATAATGTGAAGTGATATACTTATTACCAAATCATGATGCCTCAGTCCACAGGATATTAAAATTGTTAGCATCCATTACACCCTGTAGAGTACAGAGTTCTCTCTCCTGCAGCAAGATTTCCTCTAAGAAAAGAATTCTGCAATTTCCAATCCAAATGAACTTGGAAGTTCCATCCTCCAGGCAAAGGTCTTGCCTTTCATCCTGAGTATGTGTGTTCTGATAGTGATGGGTTCCGTGGACTTCACCACTGTTCCTCATCAGGAACTGTCACCAAATGAACCAAAGACTGTGCATCTATGTGATCTTATCCTCATAGTGTCTTCTCTTCTGTACTTGCAGGTGGCTCTTTCAGAATGTGAAAGTCGTATGTATTCTAGAATCATTCATTTTAGGAGAAAAATTTGTAGATGAGAAAGTTGGGGCTTTCTCTCTGGTTTTAGTGTAGAGGCCAAACTGATTCAAAATTCATGGGGGCAATGAGTATAGGGGCCCTCATGATAGAAAGTAATTTATAAGTAGAGCAATGTGGCTGATTACTGTAGTCCCAGGAAGAAGCTGTGTTATGGTTAATAGTGTGGGTTTTTTCCCATGGGATTGGGTGTATATCTGTGTGTAATGAATAGTGTGATTCTTCATGTGTCTGTGAATGTTTTTGTTTTGTGTTTTCCTCAATATTTGTCACCCTAAATGTCACTGTTACTGGTGTCAACTTCCCCCGAAAATTTCCCATCACCATGAGCCATTAATGAGTATATATGTGTGTGTGTGTGTGTGTGTGTGTGTGTGTGTGTGTGTATATATATAAAATTAAGCCAAGTATACACATTCACTGTATCCATTGATTTTATACCAAGTGAACATCCATTACCCTGAAAGACACATCCCGTCCCTACCCAGGAAAATGTTCACCCTGGAGTCTTTTTAACTTTTCTTAATTTTTTCTTGGCTCTGCTGGGTCTTCGTTGCTGCGCAGGGTTCCCTCTGCTTGTGGAGAGTGAGGGCATCTCTCGCGTTGCGGTGTGCAGGCGTATCACTTTAGTGCTTCTTTTGTTGCAGAGTGTGGCTTCTAGGGCTCTTGGGCTTCAGTAGTTTCAGAAGCTGGGCGCTGTGCTTGTGCCTCCTGGACTCTAGAACACGGTTCAGTCCTTGTGGTGCACCAACAGGTTTAGGTTCTGCGAGGCATGTGGACTCTTTCCAGACCAGGGATTGAGCTCGTATCTCCTGCATTGGCATGTGGATTCCTACCCATTGATGCACCAGTGAAGCCCTGTATGATTCTTAGAAAACAAGACCATGTTTCAGTATCTCCCTCCTGGGTCCGTCACCCCTTCATTTAATCATAAATCCCATTTCTTAATAGGTCTTGTAGCATTTTGTTTGGTCATGATTCATCACTCCGCCGTTTCCCTCATTCAAACTCTTTCCTATTACAGCCTCAGAATGAATCTCACCCCCTCAATCAAGGCCCCCAGTACTGGGGAGGCTCTTTCCTTCTGCAGGGAGCCCCTGGTGGTACCCACATGCCACACCTAGGTCTAGAGGAATCTGAGAAAAAAGGAACCTAAAAGCATAGATGAAGTTCAGTCCAGCTTTGCCTCTTAAGCTTTGAAGTGTCCAGTCAGGCCTGTTAATTCAATGCCCTGTGTTTTTCAGCTTGTCTCTAGAACTTTTCCATCCTGCAACAAAAATTTTATAACCATTGAACAGACACTCCCTCTGTCAACCTCCTCCCAGTTCTTGGAACCACCCTTCTACTCTCTGCTTCTCTGAATTTTCCTTCAGATACATCAGGTAAATGGAATTGTGCAGTATTTGTCCTCCTTTGACCTCCTTATTTCACTCTTACCAATATCCTCGAGCTTCATTCACGGTGCTGCAAATGACAAGATGTCCTTCATTTTAAAATGCTGAAACACCTTGCAGTGTATGTATACACCACATTTTCTTTTTGATTTATCTGCCCGTGGACACTGGGCAGTTTTCTTGGATTTTGTGTACAATACAGCAATGGATACATGATTGTATATATCTCCTGGATATTCTCATTTTATCTTCTTTGGACATAAACTCAGAAGAGTGATTCCTGGATCTTATGATCGTTCTCTTAACATTATTTTCTTTTTATAATACACAGCCTGAAAGGTGATATCTCCTTTTGACTTGGTTTCTATTTCACTGATACTTAGTGATGTTGAGCACTATGCCTATGAATATTGGTCACTTCTCTGTCTTCTATGAAGAAATATCTATTGAAGCCTTTTACACATCTTTTATTTTTTTTAAGTCGGTTATTTGCCTGTTGTTGTTTTGAAGTTGAGCTGTAGTAGTTGCTATATATTCTGAATATTGGCCCATTATGCAGATACAAAGTTTGCAGATACTTCTTCTCATTTCATCAGTTTACCTTTCTGCTGATTGTTGAGGAGACCATCCTTTCTTTACATGGTCATTTTAGAACCCTGGCAAAGATCATTTGGCCTCATATGTGTGAATTTATTCAAGATTCCATCCTTGTGATTTATTGGTCTCTCTGCCTGTTTTATTGCAGGTAGAAGACAGTTTTGACTGTTGTGGCATTCTTACCTGTTTTGAATTCAGGAAGCCCCATTGTCATTATTTGCTCTCAGGACTGTTTCTGCTCTTTGGGTTTCTCTTCAGTTGCATAAGTTTTAGTATTTGAGGATTTTTTATTTCCATTGTGATTTTTTATTTCCAAAATGTCATGAGACCTTGTCAGTGGTTTCAACATATATGTTCATCACTTTTAGGAGTATAGGAAGGTCAACAACACTAAATATTCCAGTTTATGAGTATGGTGTGTCATTCCAATTACTTGTCTCTTCTTTCTTTCAAAAGTATTCTATGGTGTTCAGTGCACAAAATTTTCACTTCCTGGGAGGCTTTTGTGGTGCCTTGCTTGGGTCCTCTAGAGACAGGGATGGGAATGATGGGCTCGTGAAGACAGTGAACATCCCTTCCCTCCCCTCTGAACCTACTCTCTGGTTACTTGTCGTACAGGACCTCTGGGCCATGCCCTTCACCACTCCTACAAGTGAGCCCCCTACTGGGAATTTTCTTTGAAGCTGAGTGTTCACCTTGCTATTGGGATGTTCACAAGCACACTCCCAATGCCTGGCCTAGGTTCAAGTGCCCCAGGTATACCTACATATGACTGATCTCATCAGGGCATCAAATTGTCTACAACAGAGAAAAACCTGAAGAGGCAATTAGTTGCCTTTTCCTTTTCATTGGAGCTAGGAGAGCTGAACTTTCCAGTGTAGTAGCCACTAGTCAGATCTCCCTATCTATAATTAACATATTTCAAACAATAATTAACATATTTTTAAAAACCACAAAAAATACACATTTGTTGATCACAGTAGCCATATTTCAAGTGTGTCCCTAAGTGTTGCAATTTCAGCTTTGTAAGCTTGAATGTAAGAGTTATATTGGGCTTGTAGAAGTGTAAGGTTAAAATGTGTTTCTCTCAGCATCTCTCTCTCATATGAAATTTTGCAACTGGGATCAACATCTTGTTGAAGAGCTCTGACTCCACAAACAAAGGGGAGGTCTGTGAACCTGGAGGAAAGACCAGGGAGATGCTGTGTGAGCCAAGTGGAGAAGGAGAAGTGGGTGAGTCAACTTGTATAATAACTGTATTATTGCTCACGGTTGTCTTTCTGCAGACTGCTTCCTGGAAGCTGTTAGCAGCACTGATGCAGAAGAGAACACAGGTAGGGAACAACTCTCAAGTGGGATTAACAGGGAGAGGGTTCCAGGACCACTTGGGTTACACTTAACTCTTTGGAGGTGAAGGAAGATGAATATAAACTGAGGAAGTAGAAGGAAGAAATATGTGTAGAATGTTGATTTGTTCTTTTCATATTTTAATGATTTTATAGACCCATGTGATCGTGTGCTGTACTGTGCTGTGCTTAAAGACATCTCTTTTTGCTTGTCCATGTAAAAATGTCCTTTACGACAAGACTACTCTTTCCTTGTCCTTTCACTGCTAAATGTGAAAGCTTGGCTTCTGGTTAGTACCTGCAGGATTTTATGTACAAGGAACTTTGGCTTCATGTTTAAATTCTCCTATGATGGCCACATCCTTGTGGGCACAAAATTCTCACAGCCGCTTGACACTGGAGACCAAGTTCTGGCAGTGAGTGTCAGGTAGTGGGTGAGACGTGAACCCTCTCCCTCTGCATTTTCAGGACTTGTGGTTTCCCCTCGTGTTTGTCCTAACTGTTTGTTCCTTGTATGAAGGGTGCTCTCAGGGTTTAACGAGTCAGAGCACACGTGCTGTGGCATCCCTGCCTGGGCTAGGCTCCTGAAGCTCGTCTCAGCAACACCCCTTCCCAAGGATGCTGTGCTGAAGGTGCTTCCACGTGAGACCAGTCCATGTCCAGCTGCCCCTGGAGACCAGCCTGGCCACAGACTCTTGAGCCTGTGAAGGGGCCGCTGGCTTTCTTTGCACATTTGCTCTCACAGCCCTGCTGACCTGGTCTCCTGGGACTGACCGGACCCAGGTCAGAGACTCAGAGCAGCAGGACCTGGGGTGACTGCTCCCCTTCGAACCCACTACTCCCTCCAGACCAAAGCTCCAGATGGTTTTGATCACCATCTTTGCACACTCCTCAGCTCATTTATTTACCTTTTATTTTTTAGTTTGTTTTGCATTTGAGCCATGGAATTTTCTGATATATTTTGAGTATGAGCTCCTAATGTGATATATGCTTTGCAATTTTTCTGTAGGTTAACTTTCCATCCTACTGATTGTTGAAGAGACTACCCTTTCCCTATTTTGTTGTCTTAGAACCTTCATGAATTTAATTTCACCTTGTATCCATGAGTTTACTTGTTTTTTTTTTTTTTTTACATTCTGGTATTTAGGGCTATGTATCTGTTTCTATATCAGTATCATACAGCCTTGATTCCAATAACTTTGTAATGTGTTTTGAAATCAAGAGGTGAGAAACTTTGATCTTTGTTCTCAAGATCATTTTGTCTATTTGGAGTTCTCTGTGGTTCCATACATAATTTTGGAATTGCTTTTTCTATTTCTATGACAATGACATTAGTATTTTGATTGGTGTTGCAATGAATCTTTACTTAGGTTCAGGTAGTGTAGAAATGTCAACAGAACTAAGTCACCAGTCTATGAGCATGGAATGTCATGTCAATTCCTTGTGCCTTGTTCCACCTTCTCAGTGTGGTGTGTAGTGTTCAGTGAGCTGGTCATGTCTCTCTGAAGGCCCTGTGTCCCTCCCTCCCTGATCTCAGAATCAGTGGTGGAGGGATGGGTTTGTGAGGAGATGCAGTGTCTCTCCCTCCCTTCTCACCTCTTCTCTGATGATGTTCAGCACAGGTTCCCTGGGCCCTGTGTCCATACCTGTCCCCTCAAGAGGAACACCTGCTGTGAATTCCTCTAAGATCTGGGTGTTGACATTGATGTTTCAGTGTCCCAAAGGCTCATGAATACCTGGGATGTGTGCATGAGCCCAGGAAATACCTAGAAATGAATCATCAAATCAAGCCTGTCAAATGCTCTGCAGAAACTGTTGGGGTACAATTCACAGGCCTACAAGTCCTGTACTTATCTAGACTTGAAACCAAAGAAAGATCCCAGACTTGTCAGAGATATCAAAGGTTTAAGAGATGGGATGATTTCCATGTCTGAAGTAAAAGGATCCTGGAGAGACACCCACTGTGGATAGCAGGGGACAGGCAGAAGACAGCAGCTGCAGAATTCTTCTCTTGGTGGGGGGTGGGGGGGAGTAGGGAGTCTACCAGTTCCAGCAGGAATGAACAGCAGTTTGGCTCCTTGGTTAAGTTGGTTACCATGGAAACCAGTAGAGCATCACATCCCTCTCTTAGCCCCTCAGGCTAAATACTTTCATGGGGCAGAAGTCTTGTCTTTGTTAATCTATCAGCAAACAGCCATCTTGAAATGGCCAGAAAATGCAGAGGAAATAATCAGGAGAGAGAAGATAACAGAGGGGTGGTAACATGCTATATATAGCCTTGCATGCTCAGTCACTCAGTTTTATCTGACCCTTTGAGATCCCATGGACCCATATGCCACCAGGCTCCTCTGTCCATGTATTCCCCAGGGGGGAATATTAAAGTGGTTTGCCATATCCTCCTCCAGAGCCTCTTCCCAACCCAGGAAACCAACCCATGTCTCCTCCATTGGCAGGCAGATTCTTTACCACTCAGCCACCAGGCAAGCCCTAACCCTCCCTTGAAATAAAGTCCCCTGGCATTCCAGAAACTGTTCTACCACAATCTATCAGAAGTGTTAGAACAAGTGGCACTGATCTCCAGATTCATTCAATCTTCCCTAGTGACTCAGATGGTAAAGAATTCACCTGCAATGCAGGAGAACTGGGTTTGAAACTTGGGTCATGAAGATCCCCTGAAGAAGGAAATGACTACCCACTCCAGTGTTCTTGCCTGGAGAATTCCATGACAGAGGGGCCTGGAGGGCTACAGTCCATGCAGTCACAAATTGTTGAACATGACTCAGTGACTAAGCACGTGCACATGTATAAACTTACATAGTGGTTGTTGTGTTTTATAGTGTGGTAGCCACTAGCCAGATGTGACTGTTATAATTGCTTCAAGGCATGTTTTATGTGTGTCAAAAACACTTGTGATTTCAGGTTGGTTGGCATGAAGGTGAGAGCTCTAATGGGCCTGTAGAAGTGAGAGGTTGAGAACTGACTCTTTCAGCATCTCTAGGTTTGCAACTCAGATCAGAGTCTTATTGGAGGGCTCTGACTGCACAGAGCACAGATGACTGCCATCTGCTATCCACAATGCAATGTCTTTCCAGAATCCTAGGAACAAGTTCAGGGTGATGCTGTGAGAGCCAGCATGGCCTCAACTGGAGCAGAAGTGGGTGGGTTGCTCATTCTAATCACCTGGTTGCTCATGGTTGCGTTTCTATGGAATGCATTGTGGAGACCATTCGGTGCAGTGATGAGGAAGGGACACAAGAGGAAAGAACATTCAGTTGGGATCTGATGGGAGAGGGTTCCTGGAAATTTAGGGTTAAACACCCTGCTTGGAGGCTAAGGAAGGAGAACATGAAATTAGGAAGAAGGAAAAGTGTGTAGACTTATTCTTCTCATATTTTAATGACATGATAGAGAGATTTTATCCTGGACCTGCACTGAGCTGTGTTTATAATGTTTTTTCTTTATTTGCTCTTCAAAGATTATTTTTCCCATAAGAGCTTCCTTTTCCTGCTTCTGTCACTGACTAGTATGGAAGCCTGCTATGTGGTCAGCACATCTCGGGTATTGTGCACTGCAGACTCTGCTTTCTATTGCATGCTGAACTATGATGGCCATATCCTAGGATGCAAAACTCTCATTGCCACTTGATACTGGAGGCCATGTGCCTGTCAGTTCAGTTCAGTTCAGTTCAGTCACTCAGTCTTGTCCGACTCTTTGCGACCCCATGAATCGCAGCATGCCAGGCCTTCCTGTCCATCACAAACTCCAGGTCAGTTCTCTTCTCCTGCAGGTTCAGGACTTGTGACTTCCCCTCATGTTTGTCCTCACTGTTAATCCCTCATGTAGAGGGCACTGCCATGGGGGGATGAGTCACAGCACACAGGATCTGGGTCCCTGCCTGGGCTTGGACTCCTGGAGCCACCACACCAGTGAAGGCTGATGTGCTGAAGGTGCTTCCATGTGAGAGGCCCGTCTCCAGAGGGTGGTCACAATCCATGCAGACGAGTGGAGGATGCCCTGAGCACGTCTCCCCAGGGCACAGGTCCCGTCCCCAGATGCCCCTGAGGTTGCTGGGCTGGCTCCTCCTGCAGCTCTTACCTTTGCAGGGAGGCTGGGGGCACTGTGGGGCCACTGTGTGTAGGAGTCCAGGAACTGCTGTTCCAGCATGTTCTCTTTGAAGATCCCCCGTGGGGGCTTCCTCATCTCCCTCTGCAGGACCCAGCTCTGGCCTCCAACCCCCCAAAGGCAGCAGGGGGCACCCCTAGTCCACCACCAGCTGCAGAGAGAGGTGGGGGCGGCCCCACCCTCCCCAGTCCTGGGCTCCTGGGAACAGAGTGAAGGAGACACAGGCGCCCAGAGCTCCTGCAGGTAGGGGGTGACCTGGCAGCTCTGCATCCCTGTGGGTGCTCCCTGGTCCTGAGGGTCCCAGCCAGCCTGGGGGTGCCCGAGTCTGGGGTCCCTCGGGATCTGGAACCCTGGGATCCTGGGTTACCTCAGGCACCTTTTCTCAACCTAAGTTGGAGGTTCTGTAGTTTTTTCTGTGTGTGTTTCCAGTTCCCTAAATAAAGAAACACCAGAAAGAAACTCAGTGCCGTGTGCACTTGGGATGATAGTGTAGTTGTAAGGAACCCACCTGTCAATGCAAGAGAGAAAAGAGACTCAGGGTTTGATATCTGGGTAGGGAAGGTCCCCTGGAGAAAGAAATGGTCACCCACTCCAGTATTCTTGCCTGGAGAATCCCAATGACTGAGGAGCCTGCTGGGCTATCATCCATAGGGTTGCACAGAGGCAGGCACGACTGAAGCACCTGAGCAGCATCCTTGGAATGAGTGGCAGGATTCAAGTTACTCATGTTCCTTTTATCTTTTTTCCAATTATGTCATTAATAATATATCTTGTTTAATTACAATTTAAAAAGCAGTGTCTTTTGTCAATTTTAATGTCACAATATGCTAAACATATAAAATGTACATTTTTATCACAAAAACATATTGCCAGTTTAAAATCATAAACCTCAGAAGAGTTTGGCTGGGAGTTGGAAATGATTATTAGGGAAGAGAGAGACCTCAGGTGTGTGTCCATTTCCAGCACTCAGGTCTCAGGAGCAGTTGTACTGAATGAAGGGTGGTTGGGAAGGTTCTCCTACCCCCTGTGTTATCTCCCCCCGCCTGCTCCTCCCAGGGCCTAGAGGGAAGGGGGACCCATGCTTTTAGTCCCAAATCCCAGAGTCCCCTGTTTCTCTGCTTGAGTCTCACTGTCCAGGGGACCCATCAGTTGAGGTTTGCCGGCCAGATGCCCAGGTGTCTTTGCTCCTGTGGGACATTTCTAAACACTTCCCGCTCACAGACAACACCCTCAGCAAAGAGCAGGAACCAGACACAGTGCCCTGCAGATCTGACCCCAAAGCCAAGTCTAGATCCTGGGAGGTCTTTTGGGTCCCGGACGCCCCCCCCCCCAAGGAAGCCTCTTCTGTCTGACACTGTGCCTCCCCAGGGACTCCATCCCCTGTGTTCATGTTTCAGGCTCTGCGCTGAGTCCCTGAAGATCTGGACCCCATTCTGGACCCCAGAGGGGATGCCTCATCTGCAACAGACCGAAGGAGGCCTCACAGCTTCTTTCCCGAGGGTCCTCATTTAGTATTACTTAAGTTGTTTTGTTGTATAGATTAAGTATTAGTTTTATCTACACGTTCTGTATCTGTATTTTCAATATTTATAAGTAAGGTATTTCATTAAA